AAGAGTTGTTTCCCTTTATGAATCCCTTCAAACCTTGGAAACACCTGAGGTCCTCGCTCTCATCACCCTGATCCCTAATAATTACTGCATTCTTTTTAGAAGGTCTCTTCCAGGTTGGTATTAAAGAGATGTGTCTGAGTGTGGGGGTGTCTTCAGACCTGAGAAGAGTGCGGACATATGTTGGGGGAACTGACATGCACAACTCAGACTGTGCCTTATGTGTGTCTCCTCTATAAGAACAGCATCTGGCTCAAAATTTTGTACATAGTTGACACTTTGGGATCAGGTGTTAAATTTCTTTCAAAGTTACGTATCCTTGTAAGAGTCCCAATCCCTCCTCTTTGGGGAGACAGGTGAACTAAGATTGTTTAACTGGGCCTCCCCATAGATGACCAGCAGTTTTCCTTCCCCTCCCCTCTGAAGAAATCCAACTTCTTAATCTGCTGTGTGGTTTGGGCAGGTAGCCTAAGTTGTCTGTCCCTGTTTCCTCATCTTTGAAATGGGAGAATCAGATTCGAGCAGTGTTTGCTCAAGTGTGGGGCATGCACCCGCTGGTGGGACACGAGATGATGGTTAGCAGTGAGTAGGTCTGGCTTTAGAGAGGACTGGCTGGCACCAGGAGGAGCAGTGGGTTACATACACTGCCTTGGTGCCCTTCCATTCCTTCTCATCCTAACGTGTGGAAAGTCTATATGCAGTGCCACACTACCTTTAACGACTCACCAGCACTTGCTAACCAACCTTCTCTTATAACAATGACAGACATCAATACGTTGTTTTCACTGTACTTTTATTTTAACAGCTACAATCTGTGGCATAGGATTCTGTAGTCATTAACAATTTCCAGTGCACTTATTTAGGTTTAAAAAAGAGGGGTTCTTTACATAAAGTTCAAAAACATACAAAATTTATCTTTGATGCACGGGTAAGAATAATGGTTACCTTTAAGTAGCACTCACTAGAAGGGGGCAGGAGGGACCCTGCTGAGGTGCTAGGAATGTGAACATTCTGTACCTCGATCTGGGCAGTGGTTACAGTGATGTAAAAATTCTATCTTAAAATTGAACTTAAAGCTCTGCATGTCTCAATCAAAAAGAAGGAAATAGGAGTCCTTTTAAATATATGAATATTATCTTCATGTGGAATATAAATATGGCAAAATACATGCAGAGGGATGTGTGTGGTTGAAGTTTGGACAGCGATAGACCGGACTCCAAGGTTCCTTCTGTCTCAGACCTTCTGAGACTCTGAGTGCCTGGGAGGTCTGAGCCCCAAGGTTGCCCAGCACCCGGGGCATTCTCCAGGCAGTGGGTGCTTACGGTGGGCTAGCAACACGGCTGCCCCATCAGACGAGCCCTTCCTCGCCATCCCAGCTTTTTCCTGCTGCTCCTGGCCCTGGGTGTAGCTCCATCCCAGCTTCCTTTCTCTCTGCACATTGGCCCGAGCCTCAGCTGCATCTATCATCTGCTTCAAGCTCATTAAAATTATTTCTTTTTAGTTGCAAATGGGCTGTTTATGATGATCATTATTTGAATGGTCTGCGCCGGGCTCCGGGCTGTCTGTCTGCTGCTGATGGCCGGTTAATCAGATGAGTCTCCACCCCGCCTGGGCCTGGCCCAAAGTCTGGGGCTGTGTTAATCATGGCTCCCTGGGGCTGGGGGCTGGGAGAGGATCCGGAATTCTGCTTGATCATCAAAGGAGAGGCTCGCTGTGAATGTGCACGGTGGTTCAGACACTCAGTTTCTAAAACTTTATTTCAGACCAGTTCTGGTTTATATGGATGAGAGGTTTTTTTGGTTCTATTCCTTCAAAATACAGTGCTGTGAGCTTTTTCATTTTAAATGTGTTTATTTTTAAAGATTTGTCAATTCTGTCACTGGCTCACTTGCCTTTGTTGATGTTCAAATATCCTGTCTTTTAGGGTAGGAGAGAGTGGTTTTTAATGCCTTTGCTTGATACAGTAAAACTTGGCAATATCCTGTCAGTCTTATAGCTTTTTTTCTTTTTTGGTGAGATTTTTACTGACCTGTGAAATGTAAAACTGTTAGAATCACTAGTGTGGTGTTTACTGAGCTCTCAGTTTATCTAAATATGAGATTAATATCAGCCAACATTTATTGAACACTTGGTACTGTACTTGATGCTTTTCACACTTATAGCATTTAAAATGAGCTCCCTGAACATCCCCTAGCTAGTGGGGAAGTGGAGTAGAAGCCTTGTGAAGACCAGGGCATTACAATTTTGCCTTTATAATCCACCAAGGAGATAATTCACACCTGAATTATTAAAATAGACTAATTTATTTCTTAGCTCCCTGATTGAATCACCTAACAGACACATTAATGTGTTTGTTACATGAGATAATGTTTGCAAGGAGCTTACCGGGATGCCCGATACGTGTAAACACCCAATAAATGATGGTTGTGATCATTATTATTGCTGTTGTTGCCAGTGAGCTTACCATAGAAATGCGGCAAAAAAATAGGGTTGAAGGATGAACATATTTCGACAAAGTTGAAAAGAACATGGACATCAGTCATATCATCTGCTCCTCAAGGGCCAAACAGGAAAGACACCAAGCTCTGGGCTTACGCGAGGCCAGGACTGGGCCCCTGCTGATATTCCCCAGCCTAATCTCATCTCTTCTCTGTCTGAAACATGGACACAGCAAACAGATTGATACCCACCTGCAGCCTCGGAGGTTTGGTGGAGCGAACCAGTGTAGTCGTGTCAGGCAGTTGGACTTACCCTGCTGAGATTTCCTCTCAAAGCCTGGTTTGGATGTTTTGAATGAGTCCAAGTCCAGCCCCCACCAGGTATATTGGTTGCCATGGTACAGGGAGGGACAGTTTCCCAGAGATAAGAATATCATGTCAGATACGTGACAGTCCAAAACCAAGGGATGTCAATTCAAGACCCAGTTCTGATTGTCCTCCAGCAATGTGAAAATCACATCTTTGTCTTCAAGATAGACAAGAAAAACTAAGGACAACTGTGAGCACTCTGCCACAACCAAATTGCCCTTGACACTCCAGGTTCTTCTCTCCTGCCAGGTGAGGTTTTGTCCACCTGGCTGCACCACCTGGTTGGTGTTTGTCTCCCTTTTATTTGTCCTCTTGCTGAACGTACAAATCTCTTTCCAATCATTTGGTTTTTGGGTTGCGGTTGATTGTAGTTTCTTTATTGGAAACTGATTATTTTAAAATGATAATAAACCAAAAATCTCCGTGCTTTTTCCTACTTCTGTCACCTTGGCAGCTTGTTAGAAACTGTTTCTGTTTCTCTCTCCCATGGCCCATGGCACCTTGTTCCTCCCCTGGCTCAAAACTCCATGGGGCATTGGGGCCCTAAGCCTCTGCACCTTCAGGTTGGTGTACCCACTACAGTAGCACAGAATTGGTTTCAGCACCTTGGAGAGCACTGCAAGCCCTATCCCTTGCTACTGTATTTTAATTGCTCTCTTTACGCCTGGACCTCTCCCTTCTAACCTCATGAATCTCCAAAGTTAGACATTTCTCCAAAAATAGGAATTCTCTCCCTGATTTCTCCCAAAGGCTCCATAGGCAGACACACTTAGCCTGGGTTTGGGGTAGGCTTTCCAGCTTCCGATGGGTGTGAGTTTTATGGTGCTATGGTGAACTGCTATTGAGCAGATTTACCGACTCTCAGACATGATATAAGACAATTACCATGCATTTTGTCTCTTAGAGGGAAAAGGATTTGCAGCGGTTAATAGTACTTTTATTTCATTATCTAATGGTAAAAGTGTTTCATTGTGTGTGCAAGATGAATGCATATTAGCAATGACAAATGGGGTCTTTCAACACGGTGCTGGGCCTCATCATACATATGTTAGATTAAAGAGTTCACCCTAGAAATACACTCTTGCATCTGCGTGTGTGTTTTTAATAATTCTGATTGCAGAAATTTATTGCATCACCGGATTTAGGAAATTATAGAGCCTGATTGCTGCAGATATAATCGGGTGATAAATACAGAAATGCTCCTCAAGCTATGGTCCAGGAAAAAAGCCCATCTTGGGATGGTGCAAGAAGGCAGCAGACCACATAAACAAAGTGTTTCTTGAATTATGCAAATGAAATCCATGACAACTCATGGAGAATTGTACTGCCTGTGTGAAACTGCCACTGTTAAAGTGAAGAAAGGTACAAAAGGGGCAATCAAATATATGTGTACGACCAGCAGACATTGTGCTGTGTGTGAGCTGTAGCATCCCCACTCCATCACTCACTCTCTTTTTCCCCTTGATGGTATGGCCTGTAAAAACCTGGTCTGACGCCTTCATTGCACATAAGCAAGGCACCTTCTAATCCATTCCTTCTGAATCCAGGAGTCTTCAGTGAAATATTTCTTACACTTGAAATGAACCTTAAATGATTTACTGCAGGATATACAAAAGGTCAGCTTGCTTCTTATTGGCACCTTCATTTTTCCAAAATCTACTGAAATTAAAAAGCCATCTATATCTTAAAAGGCGTATTTATGAACCCTTAAGTGTAAGTAAGTCATAGTTGGAACAGTTCCCACCTCTGATATATGAAAGCTGTCGACAGCACTTTCTTCCACTATGATATGCCCATACAATATGTCGCACTTTACTATTTTGACACGGTTTGGAGATGTTTTTCTACAGCTACTGACAAGCTTATGCCATCACTCCTTTGGAAATTTAAGAGGTGGGGCGGAGGGGGTGGGGGAGAAGTGAAAAAAACAACTCCACCCAACTTTATGGGAGATTATTGATCTGGCCTGACTTCAGACCACAGAAAGAGCTGTCCGGGATTTTTTTTTCGGTTGCATCCCCAGTTTTGTAAATTATTCATTTGTGCCAGGAGTCAATATCCTGTCTTTTCTCAGCTTTGTAAGTTAAGAAAACTTGTTCAGAATGCTGTTTTGTATGATGATTAAAAAGGAAAAGGAGGAAAAAAAATCTTTGTCTTTTCTCTCTCTCTCTTTCTTTCTTTCTTTTATTGTTCCAGAAGGAGCTTAATTCCGTCGCTTCTGAGCTGTCTGCACGGCAGGAGGAGAGTGAACATTCTCATAAACATTTAATTGAACTCCGCCGGGAATTTAAGAAAAATGTACCTGAGGTACAGTATATTTGCTGTTATAGAATTAACTCAGTAGGAATGCAGATTTTTCTCTGTTCAAACTATATTTTGAAAACTGTAGACATAAGTGACTAACAAGAAAAGAAGCTAATTAGCCCCAAAGAAAATTTACAGCCCCCAACCTTTTGGGGTTTCTTGGTACAGTAGTGCTCAGCAGCGCTGTCTAACATAAGGGCAGGACGCCTCTCCACTGAAGTCATTGTTTTTGAGGGCTCTAGAAAACATCCATTTTCTCCCCACACTCGTATAAGTCAAGTGCTTGGCCTTGATGGCAAAAGCTATTTGTCTGGAGTTCTTGATTTTATTTTGCTTTTCCATGGGCGCCTGAGAGATGACAACTACAGCCACCCCCATGGCCCTTCCCTCCATCTCGGAAACTGCCGCGCACCCCCACATAGACGCCTCATTCTTCCCCTCCACCCCGCCCCTGACTACCGCAGCCACCAGCTTTGTCCTTCCCAGCTGCCAGGAGGGTGGTCCAGAAAATGACCAGCCTCAAGCAGTGTAAGGGCCCCCCAGAAGAAGGGACTAGAAAGGACTTGTTTCAGGTCTTTCCAGGGGCGAATGTGTGAATTTCTTTCCCGCCTCTCTCAGGCTCCCTGTTGCTTCTCAATTTTTTTTTTTTAATGATAAAGTAAACTCAAGTAGGAAAAATAAAGCCTTCTGACTCCATATAATGCTGGCAGTTGGGTGGCACCTCGGAGCCATTATGGGAATCAGAGACCCCGCCTACCTCCAAAGCCAGCAGTGCTCTGACCAGCAGGCTAGTTGAGCTGTCTGTCCAAACCTGCTCAGGTGGCTGGATCTTGGAGGAGACGAGGGCAGGATCCAGCATTCGGGAGGTATCAGACCTGGAGATGTTGATTCCACCCTGCCTGCTGGAATCTTCCAGGGATCCTGGTGCATCTTGCTGATGGAGGGAGGGTCCATGGAAAGGTGGACAAGACATGGACCTACCCAGGAGCTAGGCCACGTGGGCAGTCTCTTAGCTGTGAAATACTCCTCACCCAAGTCGTGAATATCTTTGGTTCTTCAAAGCAAGAGAGGAAAGTAAGATCTAGCTGGAACTTGGCCATGGGGCAAGTCTGGAAGGAATCTTAGAATTGAGAGCTTAGAGGAGGGGCAGGAAGCTCAGATCTGTTTCCCATGTCATGGCTTCAGAAAGACCAAATCAGCCTCGGTTTGACTCCAGGAGCTAAGAATGGTAATACTGAGTGACTTTCCCTTTCCTCTTAGAACAGAGAATAGCTTGGTCTTTAAATTAATTTTTCTGCCCAGAATGAGTACCAGAGGCCCTGTCCCTGCCTCTCCAGTCTCTGGGAAGCAGCAGAGATGAAAGGTGACCTTCCATCTCATCCCCCTTCCCTGGGCCCAGGCGAGGAGGGAAATCCAGGCCAGGTTTTAAAGCCTTGAGTTTGGCTTACATAATTTTAATACTGCATAATTATGCAATTATGTAATTAGGAGGAATAAGTTTCCATTCCTATTATAGTTGTGCCTCTGAAAATTGTCATTTTTGGAGATAGCCTCTCCTGATGGGGAGAGTCATGCCAAGACTTTACTTAAGAACATCATCTGGCCAGTGCTCAGCTCACGGCCCCGCTGGTGCCTTTGCTCATCTTCTCCCAGGGGTTAAGCAGGCAGGGCACGGGCCCAGAGTCCTGCTAACCCCTCCCCATGGAGCCTCACTCAGACTTGAATCCCCTAAACTCGCTTGAGTGAGGGGTTGGGAGAGGAGCCCCTTTGCGGAACCTGTTGACCCGCATCAGGTTCCAGCGGTGCCACGCAGGACCTTGAGCAAGCCAGCCCCCCGTGGGGCCTCAGGCTCCCGTTCTGTAAATTCAGGGAGCTGGAGAGTCAGTTCCTGAGCCCCTCCAGGCACTGACATTTCCTGAACCTGAGCCTGAGCCAAAGGTTTCCTGCCCAAGTGTTTTACTGGTCCACAAATTTTACAGTAAGTTGCCAGCGTTTAGACTCTCGGGGGATTTTACCCAAAAACGTGGATTTCCAGCGTCTTTGAGACTGCTTGGTAGATTTGGCCGCATGGAGGATCCACGCCCACGTGGCAGTCACCACACAGAGCTGAGCAGCTACCACGCCCATTAAACTTGTGTTCCCTCCAGAGATTTGCCACGGGACCTCCCGGCCTGCCTCCCTTGTGGCCACTTCCGTGTCTGACAGCACTTCAGTTCACAACCTTTGACCCATGTTGTCTTTTCCATTGCTGTGGTTTCTTGTGATCTAATCTGCTAGGTTCACACACACTCCCTGTGTCCCTTCAGAAGATGCCTAGCACACATCTGTACATCCCCAACTCTGAGAAGCCCTAGGGGGACATGTCTGTCAGTGAGGAGGGGATCCCAGGACTCAAAAGAGGGGTTTTTTTTCCCCAGGGTAGAGGCAACACGACCTTATTCTTTACCTGAGCAGAGGTATTCTTCTGCCCATCTCGTGTCCTTCCTGCTTCTCTCTGCTGCCTCTCCCTCCCCACGCTCTCAAGTGCCCCCAGCTCCTCCTCCCAGGGGGGTTTCTTGTGGGCCATGGCTGACAGCGGTGGGGCAGGTCACCGGTGGGGCTCACAGGAAAGTGGAGCATTTAGGGTTGGGATCTTGGGACACTCGATTTTAAAAGCCACTCTCTGGCACACTGTGGAGGACTCGTGGGAATCTACCAGAGGGGCTCTTGGGGCTGGGAACCTCAAGGTCACTTGTGCGAAGCAGGGAATTAGGCTCTGGAAGTAGGAGGCTCCTTTCTGAAAGCATCCCCTTTCCGTAGAGGTCATCAGACCTTTACAGAGCCCTTCCCCTGACCTGAACGCCATGAGGGGAGACTCGGCCAGGTTGCCAGAAACCACGTGTTCTAGTGAGGAAGGAGAGACAAATACAGGTGGTGTCACTAAAGTGCTGAGTGGGGAAGCAGAGATGGCGACCTGATGGAGACAGCCCCTGGGCAACACCAAAGGATGGAGTGTTCTCATGAAGGGACTTTGGTGCCATAACCCCAGGAGTTGCGAATTGGGGTCACCTCTCCAGTCCCCACTCCAAAGAGTATACCCTGGGGGGACCACTAGTCGCCCAGGTCCTTTGCATCAAAGAGCATTCATTCCATGATGAGGTCCATTTGGGAAATGCTGCTTCCTCTGTCCCTCTTCCTGAAGTCTCTAGTGTGCAGTACAGCACAGGCTCCAAAACACCCTGCAGGGAAGAGACTTGAAGTTGGGCTTGATATGTCCCCTTCTGTGTGTGTGTGTAGGTGTATATATGAGGAGCCCTTCCAGATGCCCCTGAGTGCAGGGTCCGTGGACTCATTTGGGAAGTGCTACCCTAGGGGATGACAGTGAGCTGCAGTCGGGGGCCGTGGTTGTCCCGCGTGGCACTGCGGTGAACTCTTCACTGATCTCTTTTGCAGGAAATCAGAGAGATGGTCGCTCCTGTATTAAAAAGCTTCCAAGCTGAGGTAAGACCCAAGGCCCATGTCCCAAACCCAGTTCCCTCTCCTGTCCCACCTGGAGTTGCCAGAGGAGGCCAGCAGCCTCCGGCAGCTTAGGAGCAGAAACTTCTCTACTCCGTTCCCTCTAGATCAGCCAGTGGCATTGTGACAAGCATGGGTTCTCTGTTGTGTTCGATGGGATTCCCATATCTGATCCCAAGAAATCCCCCTCTTTCTAGACGTCGCCCAGCCTTGCACCAGCTCTGCCGTGTATGATATCTGTGGCCTTGAACGAACCACCTCACCTTTCTCATTTTGGGATATTTGTGCTTGCTAATCTTTACTCTCCCCCGACCTTCCACTCTGCTTTGCTTCTCTAAGACAGCCTCGCAGATAAGTCCACTTACCTGCCAGTCCCAAAACCCTCTCGGTAGAGTATACAGTCGACCCACCCTCTGAGTATACAGTCAACATTGTTCACATTCTTTCTTTCCCACACATTGGACCCCAGTTCATTTGACAACAACTGAGCTGTCCTCAACCAGTTTCTCTTGACTCCTTGGTGCCCTGAGATGGGGCTAGACCTCCCATATTTCTCCTTTTAATTTGACTGTGACCAAGATTCTGAAAATGTCCACTTGTCTGGCTGGCACAGGAGGTAAGCTAGGAAAACAATGAAATTACACCAAGGCAGGAGAGGCCATCTCTCACATGTCCTGTCTTCACTGGCTTATCTCCGTCTTCCCCAGTATGCGGGCAGGGCCCTGGAAGGGCTGGTCCTTCTCAGCGCTCACTGGCAGAGATGTGTTTTAAGTCTGTTGTCCGCCAAGCACCTCATTACTTTAGATCTGTCTCTTTGGAACTGCGTAAGCATATAAGGCAATATTAAAGTAAACAGTAACTGGATTTGCACAAATGTCGCTGATTTCCATATTTTTCATCCCTTCGTTTTATTACTTAGTTGACTGATATGCTTATTTATTTATAGGGCCATTCAGTATTGATTCATTTGGTTGTGAGGTGCCTGAGCTGGAAGGGAAGGGGAAAAAAAACCAGAAAGAAGACGAATAATGTTGAGAATGTGTTGTCGTGGTTTTGTGTTTTTGTTAAAAAGAGGTCCCCATCTGCCAGCTCCTGGTCTGACAAAGTGCACTCAGCACACAAGCCGCCTCAGGCAGCTAATTCCTCTGCTCAGCCCAAAAGCACACGTCGAGTTTTTCATATAGAGCATTACTTTTTTGGTTGTTCCATTGCTTGGGTTTGTGCAGGGGAGCTTCTCTTAGCCACTTAGAGCCTCAGTTTCCCTATCTGTTAAATGGGCATAAAGACACTATAGGTTTTTTTTTCATGTTGTTTTGAGAATGAACTAAGATATGATGCAGGAGAAGGGTTTTGTGTAATGCCTGGTGCGAAGAGCACAGACTCCAGAGTCAGCCTGGGTTCAAATCCTGCCTCTGCCAATTACTAGCTGTTTGGTCTCGCGCAACTTACTCGACCTCTCTGTACCTGTGTTTCAAAATCTGTAAAATTAGATGATGATTATACCTACTCCATATGGTTGTGACTGAGGAAGAACAAATGTCCATGGAGTGCTTAGAAAATTGCTTTGAGTATTAGAAGTCTTGGTTGTTTTATTATTCTTATTATCAATGACTTCCCACATTGGCTTATTTAGCCTTCACTATACCAGGGCTGGACTTGGCCTCTTTCTTAGGTGCTCAAGGCTTTTTATCCAAAAGAAGGAGCCTTTCTGTCTTTGCAGGAAATAGAGATTACTTAATGTCATCTTTTCAATAGAAGGAGTTAAATATTAGGTTCGGTTGATAATCCAAAGAATGTCCAAGTGCAGCGGGGGCGGGCGGGGGGGGGGGGGCGGAACACATGCAGAAAGGAACTCAGACAGGCCTGGCTTCCATCTCAGCTCTGCTGCTTGCACTAGCTGTGTGGCCTGGGGGGGCGCTTCTTAGCCCCTCCAGGCCACAGCTTTCCTCCTCTGGCAGACTCGGCTAACAGCAAGGATTTAAAGAGCCAAGTGAGGAGGCTGGCGGGGTGTCTGGCGCACAGCTGATACTCAGTAAGTGTTGGGGGAGAGAAAACCTTAGTGGGGCCAAAAGGAGAGGCACAGCTGAATTCTCATTTCCAAACCTGTTTGGCACGTTGAATAGACACTGTTGTAATAGCTGGGGATCTTCAAAGAACTTCATTAATTTTCTTAAGGTGGCTTTCCATTGTCCCTTTAATGTACCAAAAAGACTCCGTTTGTCTGGAGTTTGCTTCCCGAAACCCCTGCTTTTCTCATGATCTATTGACTAATCCGTGGCAGCAGCCACGTCCCTCCCCACACCTCGGGGGAGACACATCACCAAAGAAAGGTGTTGTTAATAAAAAGCATCTTCTTCATCCAGAGCCAACTGCACACGTACAGCCCTGTTCATCCAGTTCATAATCCAAATTTGATTTTCATTTTAATTTTTTTAATGAGGGTTCATCCTTTATGCTGCTTCCCTCTCACAATCTACCAGGCTCTGGGCTCAGAGCTGAGGATTCCCAAGTGAGCATTAATCACCGCCCAGGAATATTCCCTGAGGCAAACCCCTTCCCTAGTCACAGAAACCAGCCCATAAAACGCCACAGGGCATTCTTTCTTCCCCAGTGGGGGCCTCTTGTTGAAATGTAAGGTATTCAAGTTCATCCCTCAATTTCACTCAACCAGCCGTGGTGCATACAGAATCTGGGCGTCCCTTTTATCTTTTCATGCTATACATGTGAGTGTGGGCCTTGTATTTATTTATTTTTTTAGTCTCTGTGTGTGTGTGTGTGTGCTGGCGGGAAGAGGGCGGAGAGGAAGTGAGTTAGCCCTGCTGTGAATCAAGGAAGCTTTTCCTCTCCGCCTTGATTGCTTACAGGCCAGCCTTGATTCCCCTGCTCAGGGAAACAAAGACAGCCAAAGAAGGTGGCTTAATGGAGACAGCTTGAAATGGCCAAAGTTTGAATATCCTTGCTCACAGAGAAAAGAGCAAGACGAAAGCCCCGCTAATTACAAAAGTTGCTTTATGAAAGATAATTCAAAGCAATAATTTAGCAAACATAATCAAGTCGCACAGATGGGGTTGTTGATGGATGGATTGCAACATGCAATTAGCAGTTCTCGCAGTTACATATCATTAACCCTCCGAGCACAAAAATTATTTTCTCATTATTAGTTGAAAAGGTAAAATTAAGCTGACTAGACAGTAAAGGAACAAACTACAATTAATTACCTTCATTTATTACAGTCATTATTTTAAACTTATTTTTACTTGGAGAGAGAGATGAAAACATCTAAATTAAAAGTTTTGTTATGCTAAGCCAGAGGTGAAACTTTTCTAAGGAATGTATGTGGTGGCCCCGCCGCCGGAGAGTTGGCAGGGCCACTGCTAGGAGCTTTTTTTCTCTGTTTCCTTCTTCTTCCGTTGTGAAGGCCCTTGTGGCCCCTGTGATAACAAACGCTTTGGGCTAAGCTGAAACAGACACATTCACCTGGGCCTGATCCAAACACAGCAATTTGGAAACCAAGGGGGCTGACCCCCGGGGAGGCAAGAGAGTGTGGTGGCCAGGAACCAGGGTCTGAGTTCCACCCTAGCATTGCTTATCTGACTTTGGCAAGTCGAGTGACTTTACGTCTCTGAGCCACTGCCTCCTCCTGTGGAAGTTGCGACAGCTCGTGGGGTTGCAGGAGGTTTGATGAAAGTTCTCTTTCGAGTGGCCAGTGAGTCATTGTTCTCATCACAGTGGATGTGTCTGGTCGCCTGGGCCTACACGTTCCCTTCGTGCCCTCTTGGGGTCAGGGAGAGTTCCTGCGGTGTGACCACTGTCTAGGAGCTTCAGGAGAGGCCAAGGCACTACTTACCAAGAAATGTATTCATCACCAGTTGAGTCCATGCAATCATTTATTCGCTCAACAAACATTTAGGAGACCCTCCTGAATACCAGGTGGTGTTTTAGATGCTGAGCCTGTGAAGGTCACAACCTATTGTCAACTCAACCTCTCTTCATGAGAGGGAGGACAAGCGTTTGCACCCTCCCGAAAGGGCCACCCTTCTACTTGGCACCTGGCAGTTCCACTCAACAAATACTCATCGGACACCTGCCGTGTGCCAGGCTCAAGTGAGGGCTATGAAAAATCTGCAGATGAGGGGACACCATCCCTGCCCTCCAAGAGTGTCCCTGGAGTTCAGCCGCTGTAACTGAAACAACTTCCCAGAATCATGTCAAGAGCTTGTGGGAGGCCTGTTGTTTTCCTCCCAGAAGTTCCGTGTGTTTGCCGAGCTTCGCGTTCACGCCTGTCCCCCATGACAGCCACACAGCAGCTCCCATCCGCGCACGTCTGCATGATGCCTGACACTCTGCCATCAAGGGATGAAGCCTGTGTTTCCATCCTTTGAATCTGGGCTTGTGTCCACTCCAGCCAATGGAATGTGGCAGTCCCAGAGGCCTTAGCTGGCCTGGCAGCTTCCCATCCCACCTCTGCTGACCCAACCCTCCGTAAGAGGGGCGAGGGGCGACGACCACCCTGCTGCGAGCAGCCCCGCCCACAAGGAGAGGCCCTGGCGGGTGAGAGAGGAGCACCCAGGAGGCAGACACAAGTCATGGAGCCATGCTGGCCACGATGCCCAGCGGAGCCGTCAGGTCAGCGCAGCGCGGTCAACCCAAAGACAGACCAGAGGAAGCTGTTTGGGGCCGCTGTGCTCTGGGGTAGTTACTTGCACAGCAAAAAGTCATCAGAACACCAACCTTTTTTTTTCAGCCCACAGGTTCTTTCTTCTCCCCCTTCTCCTTTACTCTCCTCTCCCCTCCTTTCTCTTCCACCTTCCCCTCCCTTTTCTTGTTCACCCACCGCCCCTCTCCCGCAGCCTTGAGGCAGATTTTAGCCTTCTCAGAACATTTTCCCCCAGCGCCAAGTTCTTCGTCCTCCATCTCTGTGCAGAGGGCACCCTTCTTCCCACCTCATTCCGAGGGAGAGTGGCAGGGGTCCCTGTGGCAGAAGT